ACAAGAACCCACCAGCCTATGGGGCTCAGCACTTGTGCTGTCCCCCAAATCTAGGTCACCCTGGGACTTCCACATGACACTGAGACCCATTTCTCTTTTCTGATCTCTTGTGGATCCAGATCCTCCAAATCAAAGAAGCTCATTCTTCCCTCTTTCAGAAAATCTAAGAATATACCAACAGGAGGGCCCAGAGTGCACAATGTTGTATTTAACCTTCCAGTCTTCTTAGGAGATTAACACCAATCCTCCTGCCCTCTAGTCCCACCCAGGGTTCCAGCCCAAACCTCAGCCTGGAAAATGGAGCCTTTTGACCAAGCAATGGAAATCAAAGCACAAATAGAGGTCTCAGCATCTCAGTCCATGATTGCCCTGTTTTAAAGACCCCCTGTGAAATTTATGTTGGCATTTAATCCTCAAGCTTATCTGTTGATCACATTTGCAGGTGGGGCCTTCTATAGGCTGTTGGGCCTAGATGAAGTCATCATGACACCTGAGCTGACACACACTTGCTCTGTCTCCCTGTGTGATTTCCTCTGCCATATCATAATGCAACAAAAAGTCTGGAACTGTGAGCCTACACTTCCAAGCCTTTTGAACCATGAGCCAAAAAAAAAATCCATCTTTTGTAAATGACCTAGTCTTGGGCATTTTGTTCTAGCAACAGAAACTGATCCAAGACAACATCTGGACTTTTTGGTAAAATATCTTGCCATAGGTACTGTGTAGATCACTCTTTTTGCTCTTGTGAACAAAGTCAGGAGTTTCTTGACTGAAGAGTAAAGCCAAGAATAAAAAGGCAGATAGAAGGGAATAAGTCAGTCCTACATCAAACACCAAAAGAACTCAAAATTATAGACATGGATTATTTAATGCTACTGAACTTTACACATAAAAATAGGATGATACATTTTATGCTTTCTGTATTTTGTGACAATTTTTCTTGAAGAATAAAAAGACTGAGGGGTGAATGTTTAGTATGCAGTGTCTGGATTTGATTCCCAGCTCTGGCCACTGATTCTAACTTCCTGCTAACACAGACCCAGGGAAGCAGCAGGTGTTGACTGAAATAATTGGATCCCTGTTACCCACATAAAAGACCTGGATTGAGTTCCTCTTCTTGGGGATGAAGGTAACTTTGGCCATTGGGGACATTAGGAGAATAAAGTAGTGAATGGAAGTTTCTCTCTCTTTTTCTCTCTCAAATAAACAAATTCTTAAAAACGAAAAAAAAAAATTCATTGTGGAAGCACCACCTGAAGTTGAGGGAAGGGGCAGTCACCAGAAATTCTTTCATGTGTGTACCAAATTATCCAATAGGTAATCCAATTGTGAATATTGTTTAATTTTTTTAAATTCACTTGTAATCAATGAAATTGGCTTGCCATGAGCCAAATATATCTTCTTGCCTCTCTCTCTCTCTTTTTTTTTGGTATAACCACCAGACCAACCCCTCTGCATGCCAAGGTTTTCAATCTGTCAGCTGCCACAAAAATAACTTGTTTAGGGATAAGACCCCTGATGGAATCCTTTCACCAGACCAGTTTTGAGAAGATAAGTTTTTGTCCTCTTTTCATATACACATTGTCTCAGATTGTTCTCAGATTTATAGAGCTGTAGAAAAATTATAGGCTGATGTTTCTAGTTTCAGATAAAAACACTCTCCGTGAATCAAAAAGCATTCCTCTCCTTACATATCCATGCAGTGAAGATCTCAGCCTGTGTTCCAGGAACTGTAAATTGTGCCAGTAACTGTGAACACACACGTTTTCTGTGTTTAACTTAATCCTCTGGTGGTATCACCAGGTACTGATGGCAATTTCTATATTTCTTTAAACACAGGCATCAATCACAGAACAGACTGTAAGCATTTTGAAAACACCATACATTAACAGACAAGAACTGCTTGAGGAATCACAAATATTTATTCTAAAGCAGGTCTTGTTTCAGCTTTCTTCTGACTCTGGGCTGTCTGCTGACACGAACCATTTATCTAGCACCCCAGGTCCATTCCTAGAGGAGCCAGATCTTCGCTTACAGGTGGCAGCTTTCTGTATTTTCAAGTGCAGAAAAATCAGAGAAATGTTAAGCACTTGAAATTATATGGCTGATTACCCAAGTGTGCAATGGGCCTCAAGGAAGTTTATCAGGAGCCCATGATGACAGAGTTGTGAGGAACTGCCTCTTAGAAACAATGTTACATGGAGGAAGCCGCTCGACTTAGGCATCCTCTGTTGTCCTTATCCACAAAGTGATCCCTATGTCACATCCACATGTAACTCCATCCCCCAAGACTCACATGAGACTAGTGAATACCACACTTGGAAGGTGTTCCCTCCAAAATTCTGACATGCCAATGGCATAGCATAAGGACACTTCTAAAAGTACATGGATTAATGAAATTAAAAAATAAGTGTGTTTTGGTTGAAAAAAACAGAAATTCATGCAAATATTTTTCACAATAGATATTTCCCATGAGTTTTTTGAAGATCTCTCATACATACAGGTTTCCATTTTCTTGCACCAAAAATAACATTACTTTTAATTCCACTTTTCCACTGATCTTTAGAAGTGCACTCATGTTAAGAGATGGGGAAGCCACCATTGTCACAGTGCATTAACCTGAGACTCTGAGGCATCGAGACACCTTCCTCCCATGTGAACACCACTTCCAAATCAAACTGTCCCACTTCCAAGCCAGCTCCCCACAATGTACCTGGGAAAATAGCTGAAGATGACTCGAGTACCTGGGCCTTGCTCATCCACATGGGAGATTCCTGGCTTTAGCCTGTCCCAGCCCCGATCATTGTAGTCATGTGGGGAGTGAACCAGCAGATGGAAAATCTGTCTCTGTCTCTCTCTCCCCTTGTCTCTGCCTTTCAACTGAATAAATAAAATCTTTGATGAGAGAGATGGACCTTCAAAAAGTGTTGAAGGCTCTTCCCTTGTGAATAGGATTAAGTGATTTGTAAAAGAGATTGACAGAGGGACTTCCTCCCTTTTGCCCTTCTAGCCCGCACCAAGTGCTGACACCTATGAAGAACAAAGCACAGTCTTGGAACTGGAGAACAGACCCTCAAAGGGTAACATGGAAATCGCTGCTACCTTGGTTCTGGACTTCCCAGCTTCCAGACCTGTGCGCAATACATTTCTGTTTATAAATCATTCTGGCTCAGCTATTTTGTTGTAGCAGCACAAAATGGAATAAGATACTGAGTGAAAGCATTTTTCATCCATAAATTGTTGTACAGATGGCAGCTATCATCAAAACGTTTGGTTAGTAATGTTCTACATCATTTCTGCTACTGTGAGCATACTAGCTAGCTCTTCCCTCTGCTGAAGCTTGAGGCCCATAGCAAGTGTGAGAAAGAATTTATGATCATCACCCTTATAGCCATAGTCCTAACCCAGTCCCCAAAACACACAAATACACATCTATCAATTAATGATCCCAAGTGGATGGGTCTGAGTGTGGCCTGTAAGAACCACCCACCAGCCAGAAATGCAGAATTATTGAGCAGGAGAAGTACCAGAATTGATGTATTCATGAAAGCTGTCAGCATCAGAATGAGGTCTCTTATGTTCACAAAATTAAGAGGTGCACATTGTGGTATAGTTGATAAAGGTGCAGCTTGTGATAACATCCCACATGGGTAGTAGTTCATATCCCAGTTGTTCCACTTTCAATCCAGCCGTCTGTTAATGGCCTGAGAAAAGCAATGGAAGATGGTCTCAGCGCTTGTGAACCTATGACCCGAGTGAGATCTAGATGAAGCTCCTGGTTCTTGGCTTTTACTTGCTACGGCTCTGTATGTTTGTGGCCATGTGGGAATGAATCAACAGATAGATCTCTCTTTCTAATTCTTCCTTTCTAATTAATTAATTAATTAATTAATTAATTAAAAAATATATTTTAAAAATGAAATAAAGTCAGGTGGTTATGAAGAAAGAGTTATTATGTATCATGGTCTGACAGTAACTCTTACAGAATCGCTAACTTGTACAAAGCACTGTGGCCTTGCACAAAAACTACTTACACTGGGATCTCTGCCCACCAACCGTTTGTTCAACCTTGAATTAGCATTGCCCTGGATATCAGTCACTATGGCAAAAAGTTATTGTTTCAAAATATTGCTTGTTTTGTCCTGGTTTTTTTTAAGACATTTTTAAGCATACATGAATGTGTACTTTGAATACCTGCCTCACAGCATTCCAGCTAAGGTACAAAATAGGAGCTGATAAAACAGCATAAGCAAGTGGCCCAAAAGCCCCCAGTCATCCAGAGAACCAAAACTGAGTATACATCTCCACATGGCCCCAGAAGCACCCCTGAGCACACATCTGATCCTTGTTGCCTGGTCATTAGCATTTGTAGCACTGCAGATGACTCCAAGAGTTTCTGACAAGCTTTTGAAACTAAATATTGGGCTGATGGAGACAAGTCCATCAGCTCAGCTCTATTGTTCTGTATCTGTCTTTATATGTGAGCAAGTCAGACTAACTATACCCATGAAGGTGAGAATAAAGGGCAAGTTGCCAAACTGACCCTTAACATGAATAGCAAAAAGAAATCAATTGGTTTCATTAACAGACTTGTTTCCAAGGAAAGGACACCACAGCTCAGAAGCAGAACATCAAGTTTTCAGGGGATCATCCTAATCTTCATGACGACGTCTTCCGTATGTGGAGTCTGCTTGCCATGTCCCAAAGAGTGTGACACTGCATTCAGCCAACATTTAAGAGATGTTATACACACTTCAGCCAAGGTAAGCAATGAAGAGGACTGAACATAAGAATGAAAAATTCTAAGTTGGTTTCAATAGTAACTTGTTTCCAGTACAAGGAAAAATTTATAGCCACACTTTCTTTGTACCTCGTCTTTATTGACTCCAGCTAACCAAAATCTTTTCCAAACTGTCACTCACACATTCCCCAACCCCATCCTGTGCTTCAAGGCTGCCCCTCAGACGATTTTAACAAACCTCTTCTCCAAGTCCTAGATGTCACCAAGCTGGTGTCCCCTCGCCCACCTTGACACTATACTCCAGAAACTCCACTTTGAGAGGCAATTGTGAGAATTCAAAATTCTTTGCCTTTCTTCCCCAGTTGATTGGGGCCAGGCTGGAACTGTCCAGTGTGCTGGGGGCAGCAGAACAGGTAACCCTAAAGGTGTTGAGTTGTTTTTCAAGCTCTTGTAGTGTTATCTTTGCTGGTTTTGCCATTGCATTGCCTTGCCTGTTGCAAGGTATTAAGAATGAGGGTGTGGGGCCCAGTGCGGTGGCCTAGTGGCTATAAGTCCTCGTCTCAAATGTGCCAGGATCCCATATTGGCATCGGTTCTAATCTCGGCATCCCCACTTCCCATCCAGCTCCATGCTTGTGGCCTGGGAAGACAGTCAAGAATGGCCCAAGCCTTGGGCTCCTGCAGCTGCGTGAGAGACCCAGAAGAGCTCCTGGCTTTGGATCGGCACAGCTCTGGCTGTTGCGGTCACTTGGGGGGTGAATTATTGGACAGAAGATCTTCCTCTCTGCCTCTCCTCCTCTCCATATGTATCTGATATTGCAATAAAAATAAGTAATTCTTAAAAAAAAAGAATGAGGGTATCTTCTTCAGATTCAGGCTGTCAATGAGAGCTTGATGCAGAAACTGAACCACATCCTTTACCTCTCATTGGTATGTTGCACCACCCATGACAAACACAACAATCCTGGCTGAAGTTTTAAACTACTCTAAGAATTGAGGCAAGGGCCCAGCGTGATAGTGTAATGGTTAAAGTCCTCGCCTTGCACATGCCAGGATCCCATATGGGCACCGATTCTAATCCCAGCGGTCCCGCTTCCCATCCAGCTCCCTGCTTGTGGCCTGGGAAAGCAGTCAAGGATGGCCCAAAGCTTTGGGACCTGGAAGAGCTACTGGCTCCTGGCTTCGGAATGGCTCAGTTAGAGCCGTTGCGGCTGCTTGGGGAGTGAACCATCGGCCGGAAGATCTTCCTCTCTGTCTTTTCTCCTCTCTGTATATCCACCTTCCAAAAAAAAAAAAAAAAAAAAAAAGAATTGAGGCCAGGCCCAGAACAATGACTCCATGTCTAAATCCTTACCTTGTAAGCACTGGGAGTGAACCATCAGGTAGATATTCGCATCTCTCCTTCTCTCCATAAATATGATCTGTCTTTCCAATAAAAATTAATCTTAAGAAAAAAAGAACTGGAACCATAAGTTCTCATGGCCCAGGGAGGTCAATAAAGGTCAGATTGTTGCTCCTATTGTTGTTGACTTGGTACACAACACAGCTGTTTGTAATGGACATCTGAGCATCTCTGTAATGCCCTGTTAACAACCTGACAAATAGCAACGCTTTTCCAAGTCACAAAAGCCAACCGGAAGCATTGCTCTCTGCTCTTTCTGCTACAGATGGGTTTCCAGAATACCAAAATCAACTACACTGCGGGAAGCCAAGAAGGGTTCTTCCAGCTCCATGATTCAGCTTGGGACAGGCAGAAGCCTTTGCAGAGACCACACTGCTTTCAGTTCCTGAAACCCATCCTTCAGCATGCTCTCCTGCTTGGATACCATGACCAACAACATTCTTATAAGCTTGCTACACACTTTTCTGCCACCTGGAGTCTACCTCCCAGGAACTGACCTTAGATGATGGGTTCTTGAGAAAACACCAGGAGGAAATCATTGAACTGCCTGCTATTGAGCCTGTAAAGACAACAGTGCCTGCCAGAAAAGACTAAGTTAGAGTACCACCACTAATAGGGTCTGGTGATGTAGGAGAGGCCCTTCTTTAACTCTTGATCATGCTTAGGTATCCCTTTTTGGCCCCTTCCCCCTCTCTCCTCATAGGCAATTCCCTGCCTCACTCATGGCAGGTATTTCCCCTTGTCAGGTGGTCCACACTCACCTGTGGACGTATATTCATTTTCTCTTTTAAATAAATTCTGCCCTCACTTGTGGTGTTGTATCTATGCCTCAGCTTTAAATTCTTCTCTCATTGAAGACAAGAACTTGGAATAAAGAAAAAAATAGGCAGTAGGCCCACAACACTTTGTGCTTCACCTCACCTGCAGAACCCAGCATGTCTAGTCTGAACCACCTTGTCCCACTGATCCCTAGCGTTGGCCTTTCTTATGCAGAACATGGTGTCCGGCTCTAGCAGCTCAGAAATGAGGACAAAGTAGTTTCCATCTTTGAGGAGTTAAAAGGTAACATACACATTTACTACCTATGTGATTCCTTTTAGGAAATTGGGAAGACATGGCCAGAAGCCACCCTGAGGGAGGACAAAGAGATGAATAATGCTGAATGCTGCTTGATAGCCAAAGAAGGTAAGGCGTGAGTGTTGTCACTGGCTCAGGCTACATGGAGAGTCCTGAGAAGTCATGAAAGCTGCTCTGTGGAGCGCTGGAGCCACCAGCTTCACTGAATTGAATGTAACAGGAGAGGGTGGACAAAGTGGGAACTGAATGTAGGCCACTCTCTAAAGGAGTTTTGGTGTGAAGGGAACCAGGGAACAGCAGATCACAAAAGGTATGTTGGAATCTTTGAGTAGACTTTGTAGCTTTGTATGCTGGTGGGCAAATGCAGTTAGAAAGAAATCTTGGGGTAGTGTGGGGAGCCAGGAGGTAGATCTGTGTCTGTTGCAGGGTTGAGGACAATGCCCTCAGCTGCTTGTGCGTCTTGTTTGAGCAGAGATACCATAAGGCCATGGTGGAGGTTTGGAGTAAACAGTGTACTCTTCTGATCACTTCTGTTTTCTCAAGGAAATAAGAAGGGTCATAACCTCAGAGTGAGAAGCTAGGAGAAGACACGGAAGATTTGCTGAGAAAAGAGGTCATGAATGTTAATCAACAAAGTGAAACTTAGTCAACTGGAGACTGTGGCAATTGTGTGTTGAGAAGATAGATGTAAAGCATTCAGCACAATGCACTATACATAGAAAACATGCAGAAATGTTTGTCATGATGATGTGATGATCATGATGCCTGTCATAAAGTGGCTTTGAGAACACAGAAGAACACTCCCACAAAATTTGAGGAATTAACCCAGGGGCTGTGAATTAAGTGAGAGCTCTTCTGAACAAGAGGAAAGAGGAACATTTTAACAATTACTCAAGGAACATCATGTGCTAGACATAGAACTGCTGCTCAGAATAGCTAACTAGAGGCTCGGTCATGTAAATAAAATTTTATTGCAACACAGTCATGCCCATTAGTCCACAGATTGTCTGTAACCATTTTCATGCTCCAACATCAGAGCTAAGTTTTTGCTCCAGGGATTGCATGCCTTACAAAGTCCAAAAGTTCTACCTTCTAGCCTTTCACACACACAGTTTTCTAATTCTTGGGGACACAGAATTTGGTAAACAGTGATTGTAGACAAGCAAATAAATTGGACACACAAATAATATCGCTGATAAATTAGGAATAACAAGGGGAAAAAGGGATACCTGAAGGCCAGTGTTCTGACACAACAAGTTAAGCCACCACATCAGAGTACCAGTTCTAGTCCCATTTGCTCAGCTTCAGATCCAGCTCCCTATTAATGTTCCTGGGAAAGTGGTGGAAAATGGTCCAAGTGCCTTGGGGTTCCACCATCCACACGGGAGACCTGGATGAATTTCTAAGGTCTTGGTTTTAGCCCGAACCAGTGCTGGCCACTGTAGCCATCCATGTGGGGAATGAACCAGCAGATGGAAAATAAATGTCTTATCTCTTTGTGTCATTCACTACTACCCCATAATTCTGCCTTCCAAATAGATAAATCTTTAAGAGAAGAATAAAAGAGATACCTCTGGAAATTGAATTCCTGACCTAGGCGGGGGCGGGTGGCGGGGGGAGAGAAGGAACACTAAAATAATCAACAGCAAAGGCAGTTGGGGGAGAGAAAATAAAGATAAAAGCCGTAAAAAAAAAAAAAAGAAAAGAAAAATATTGACAAATTCATATTCTCCAACTCTCCATAGACAAGAAACAGATGAATATGACCTCAAATATGCATAATCAATGTCCTTAGAAAACTCAAAAACATGAAACAAAGTGTCCAAAACATGAAAGAAAATCTCCCTAAATGTACAAAAACTTAAATCTGCAGCTTTGAAACATCATGTCATGTCCCAGGAAATTCACAAACCACAGTGAATCACATTCTGATTCCATTTCATAAATCAAGAAAATTGTCAGACTGAAAAATGGGAAATGATCTAAAAGGAATCAAACATTGTGAGGAATCAAATAGAATAACATCCATGAAGATCTGAATGCAAGGGACAGCTATTTGGATTTCTTAATTTTTTCATGATCTCTCAATTTTAGAAGAGTATTTCTCACACTTACTATACATGAGGACCCCTAGGGAGCACTGATGGATGACTCACATGTTCAGTCGGCCACCCTAAGACAATTAGGACAGAATCTCTCTGGGTGGGCCTGGGCTTCGGTAATTCTCATTGATTCACCAGTGACTCTGAGTATAGGTGATTGTAAGATAGGTTGCCTGAAGCGTGGTTGGGAGACCAGCTGCAGCAGGATCAGCAATGTCTGGGCGTGTGCTACAATTGCCAGTTCTCTCAGGGAGGGCATCTGTCGGGATACCCACATGGCATCATGGAGTGCCTAGGCTGGAGTCACAGCTGCTTCCCTTCTGACCCAGCTTCCAGCCAATGTGTATCCTGAGAAGCTGCAGATACAGACTCTAGTCCTTGGGTTCTTGCCACCAACACAGGAGACCCAGATGGGGCTTCTAGCTCCTGGGTTTGCCCTGATCACCCCTATCTGTTGTGGAAAATTTTTTCTCTTTCTTTCAAGTTAAATGAAAACAAATAAATAATCTTTGAAAACCAGTTCTGAAACCCACACCAGCCAGCCAATGCAGGAATCTGATGGTCTTGAGCTGTCCAGGTGCCTGGAATACATGCTTTAGCTGGTTTAGAAAAGAAGACCTAACTCTAGACCTAGAGATAACTCAAAGGTCACATCCCAATGTGGGTTTACAACACATATTTTTTTCTTTTTGATTATGTTTACATAGCTGATCAGGGTGGGAAGGGCTGAGGGTTAGGAAAAAGTGGGTGTGATCATTGTTTCCAAATTTTCTACTTCCTCCTCCTCCTGTTTCTGGGGGAAGAGGAAGAGATAAGAGGAAAAGCCATGCCCAGCCTCTCAACCTCCCCAGTACCCATGGATAGTGCCCAGTACTCTGGGTGTCAACCCAGAATCCTGATGTGGTACACACTCCAAGGGTTTTACCCAGGTGGTTTCAATAGTTCTGAAATGTTGATCCAAGGATGAGGAAACCTTTCCAATGTCCAGTGGTTGACATAGTCGACCTTAGAGTTTCCATTCAACCAGAATTTTGCTGTCTTTTTTTGGCTGAGGTAGTTGTCCAATTTGTTCTGTTCTCCTTCCTCTGCTATGGTACCAGATGTCCTCTGCAGACCACAATGGGCTGCCATTTCCTTCATGTGCATCAGGGCCTGCCATGCACTGCTCCATCTTTTCCACTGAGGAGGACCAGTTAACACAGGCAGATCCATGGGGCCAGGCCAGGTGGCCCAGGCCCTACCACATCCCTCCCCAACCCCGCCACACCCAGGGCTCATGGAACTGGTACCCACAGTGAAGGTGGTCAAAGGACCCCAGACCCTTCTGGATGCTTCCCTGCCCTGGGAGCTCACAGACCTGGCACCCACCATGCAGGCTAGCCCTAAGGATCCACCATGCTCAGACTGGCATGGCTCACCTTACCTCAGCATCTACAAGTGGGTATTGCAGCCTGCTCCTATTTTCAGCTCCTGCTGGTGTGTGATGCAACCTAGCCTGGCCCAGCCAGTGCCCAACCCAGTCCTAATATGGACTGGCTGGAGTTGCGGTCCAATACAACCTGTCCTGCACCCTATCCTGGTTCTCAGATCTGCCAGTGGATAATATGAACTGGCCCCAGATCTGACTCACATTTATGGTGGAAGCTATATAACCTGGCCTGGTTTAGGCTGCTGCTTGCCTTGGTTCTTGCGCTCACCTGCAGGGACTGCATCCTGACAAAGGAGTCCCCTAAGCTCTTCTATCAGGTCTCCTCCCAGCAGTAGATATTGCACACACTGGTGGGTCCTTGGCCCAGATTAATTCAATCCACCTTTTGTCCTGGCAGGAACACTGTCCTTGCCCAACCAGACCACATCCATTTTGATTGTTACTCCTGGGAGTTGCTGCCCAGGCATATCTGGTCCACTCCCAGCCACAACTCTTATGTGATTCAGTGGGAGCTGAGACTTAGCCCAGCCTATTCTAAACCCACCCTGCTTTTACAAGTACCAGTGAGTGCTGGAATTTGGCCCAGTCAGACACTCCCCAGACCCAGTCCACACCCATGCCAAGGGATACTACAGCCATGTCCAGCCCAGATCACCACCCAAATTCTGGTCCCCGCACTCACCAGTGGGAACCCTGTGACCCAGTCAGGGCATCCCCTTAGCTCCCCAACCAGGCCAGTTCCCAGCCACAGATCTTGCACATGCCAGTGAAGATTGCAGTTCCATATAGGTGAGCCTACATACACACAGATTCTGCACCCCCAGACCTGATGCTCTGGCATACTAGTTAATGTCATGGGTTAGCCTAACATTACCTGCCCCCTGTTCCGAATCTCACTGAGTACTTTGATCTCACTCCACCAGGTAGGCCCCCAGCCTTAGCTTTAGTGTGTGTCAGTGAGTAGGATTCAGCTGTGGTCCACAGTAACCACTCCAGGTCAGATCTTCCACGTGTGCTGGTACATTGGTCTGACCCTTAAAGGTATTCCTGTCCCCCCAACGCCAAACCACTTGATCTCAGCCCCCTCGCTTACCAGCAAATACATTGGCCTTGTCTATGGAAGACCCTCAGTAGTCATTCCTCACTTGGACATGAACCCTCAGCTGCAGAGAAAGATGTCCACCCTGTGGTGTTTCAGAGTGGGAAGACACGAGGTACTCTTTAGACTTTCTTTTGGTGCTTTTCCACACCATTGAAATTCCTGAAGACATTTTTTTTTCCAAAAGTACTAAAGTGGTTTGCTTGCTTGCTTTCTTTCTTTCTTTTTCTCTCTCTCTCTCTCTCTCTCTCTCTGTAACAAAACTAAACCTTCTCATGAATTTGACCAGGATGCTCAGGAGCTGTGAAGCAGTTCACAGCAACCAAGCTCACCACAAATCAGAACAGTGATGTTCATGGACATTGTCCTCCAGAGCAGGCGTCTGTCCTCCCTGGATACACACCACCGGAGGCGACTCTATGCTGCTGGGCACCATGAGCAGAGAATCAGAGAAAATGCAGTGAGTCCTCCTAGGAAATGTCTTTGAAACTCTCATGGATTAACAATTTATCCTTCTCAGTGGTAATAATTCCTTGTGAAGAACAGTTTTCCCAGCCTAAAATCAGGACTCCATCCAGCCACCCCAAATATTTATCATAAGGCACTGTTTCTCAAAGTTATGATGGATACTGCTTACAATGGAGAAATTTCCAAATCACAAATGCCAAAGACTCACTTCTGGCAAGTCTGCCTTCCATTCCATCTATGTAAAGCTGCACGTTTAGAAGTTAGCTCCTGGCCTGGACTCTAAATTTTGGATTTAGCTTACCTAAGGTGATTGGAGCCTCCCGTTGACTAAGCACATACTGATTTTTCCAAGAGCTTCGTGAGAACAAAGGAGTAAATTCCATGTAAGGAAGTAAAGCCTGTGGGCTTCATTTTAAAAGAAAAAATATTTAATGAAACACAAAAGTAAATTCAACCTCAAGGCTAGAAGCATGATTCACTTTGTCAGTACATCTCATTTATTAAAAAGAAATAAACATCCCACTCCTTTCTTAAAGTGACTTGCATAAGGCTTTTCCATAACTGAATCTGGCAGGGGCTGAGAGGGCACACACAGTTATCCATATATGAGACCTCAGCTTCCTATTGTACTAGCAAAACTACTGCATGATGTGTTAATTCAGGAGCTAAGCCATGTGTTGTGAAGCAGGCTAAGCCACAGCCTTTGACACTGGCATTCCATATGGACACCAGTTCAAGCCCCGCTGGTCTACTTTCAATCCAGCTCCCTGCTAATGCACTTGGGAAGGAAGCAGAAGATGGCCCAAGTGCCTTCTGCCATCCATGTGGGAGACCCAGATGAAGCTCCAGCTCCTAGATTCAACCTGGTCCAGCCATGGCCATAGCGACTATATGGAGAATAAGCCAGTGGATAAAAGATATCTGTAACTCCATCATCCAAATAACAAATAAATCCCTAAAATATACATCAATAATTCAGGAACATGGCTCTGAATTAACAGATAATTAAGTCTGTGAAAGTACTATCCTTCCTCTTCAAAAATCGTTATTCCATGGAGTTTATGTAAATGAGATCTGAATACAATCAATGTACATAAAATATTTTCTTGTCATAATGTAAACATTGCTTTGAAATATTAACAAAGCACAAATGATTTCATAGAGAACATGAAATATTTATTTCCTATTTACATTTTCATTTTTATATAAAGTACTGTGCCACATAACCAAAAGAGAAAAAGAAAAGAGCTGTGAATCTGAAGAGTCAGCGAAGCCAGTACCCCACTGTAGGTGTCAGCAGTCGTGTCGCTCTCGTCGCTTGCTTTTTCGGTATTTTCTGGTTTCCTGACGAATAGTATCATACTCCAGGATTGCAATTTTTGAAAGTCTCTCTAGGTACTGAGATGGTGCACCAGGGAGGGGATCACTGAAGTCAGAATCTAGTGGTGGGCGAGGAAGATTAAGAAATGTGTCAGCTATTAAAATTATAAAATTAAGAACACATGAATAATATTCATTTCACAAAATATGGCACAAGATACTATTAAACAGTGCTAGTTTTTCATATCTAGAAATACCAATGTTTACTTTTTTTTAAAGTGATGATGACTATAATGCCAAATCACCTCAAAACATTTCACCTAAAATATCTTCATCACAGAGTTGGCATTGCAGCATAGCCAGTAAAGCCATCACTGCCAGTGCCAGCATCCCATATGGGAGCTAGTTTAAGTCCTAACTGCTCCACCCTGGTAAAGGGTATGAGAAAGCTGTAGAAGATGTGTCAAGTCCCAGGGCATCTGCACTCATGTGGGAGACTTGGAAGAAGCTCCCGCATTCTCACAGCCAATTCCAGATTTCACAGCCATTTGGAGACTGAATCAGAAGATGGAAGACCTCTCTGTCTTTCCCTTCAAATCAATAACCAACTCTTTTAAATTCCTTGTATTTCATTACACAGAATTTAATTTGGGAGCCAGCAGCTTGACTTGGTAGTAGGCTAGGCTTCCATCTGAGGTAGTGGCATCTCATATGGGCACTGGTTTGTGCCCCGACTGCTCCCCTTCCCATCCAACTTCCTGCTTGTGGCCTGACAAAGCAGCATTGGATGGCTCAAGTTTTGGGGCTCCTGCACCCAACTAGGAGATCCACTGGCTCCTAGCTTCAGATTGGCCCAGCTCCAGCCAGTGCAACAATTTGAGGAATTAACAGCAGCTGAGAGATCTCTTCCTCTGCCTCTCCTTCTCTCTGCCTTTCAAATAAAAGTAAAACTTTAAAAAATCTTTTCAAAATAAACAATTAAATCAATCTGTAATGTATTTTAAAAGCAAAGATGGGATGGCTATAACATTTTCTAAATGGCACAACCTCCTTAAATCCTTAGCTTGTTTTACATCTTACAAGTTATTTTCTCCAAATAAACTTGTTTCTCAGAGAAAGCTGATAAAGTAAAATAGTAAAGGTGTGAAGTTATATAAATCCAAAACATCACCAATTAAGCTTCCATAATCAGGAGATAGTAACAACACTGCACTTTTATTGAATCACCTTCATCAAGCATTTACACCTATTTCATCTGAATGCAACAGTACTGGCTCAAGTCACAGATTCTTACAAGGCAATTTAAGGAGACTAATTATTTGCCCAAGGACACACACCTAATCTGTCAGAGGCAGGATTTCAACCCAAATCCACCAAACTCAAAGTTCCCATGTAACAAATATACATTTCTTCTAACATTGTAAAAGCAATCAGGCATCACACAGCATCGTCCCAGTTGACAGCAGACCACATATGCGATAGCGATTGCATAAGGTTAAATGAAGCTGAGAAGCTCCGAACACCTAGGGACATCACAGTGCAATGCATGGCTAAACAAAACTACCAAGCTTGCAGTTGCGTGGAAGTATAACACACACAAGATTATGCACAGCACAGCACTTAACACTTGAAAACAATAATCAATGGCCAGATGTCTAGTCGATGTGCTATACTATACTTCGGACCATTATTTTATAGGATACTGTTTCTAGCAAAAACAATAGCTAGCTGGCAAACAATCTCTGATGGTCTTTCAGGAGAAGGTGTGGTTATCATTAAGGATGACAACTTCACGTGCACCATTGCCTCCATGGACCTCTCCAGCAGGACAAGATGAGGTGTAGATGGTGATGCCGACTATGTTGGCCCAGGCTGATACGTACCCATGGCTCAGATTTTAGCACACACACACACAATTTAACAATAGGAAAAAAGCTCACAAAACAATGATATAAAAGAAATATTTCTCTCTTTAGCATTTTTAAGATTTATTTCTTTTTATTGGAAAGGCAAACCAGGTTTATGGAGAGAAGGACAGAGAGAAAGGTCTTTCATCCTCTGGTTCACTCCCCAGGTGGCCACAGCGGCAACAGCTGAGCTGATCCAAAGCCAAGAGCCAGGAACTTCTTCCAGGTCTCCCACGCACGTGAGGGATCCCAAGGCCCTGGGTCATCCTTGAGTGCTTTCCCAGGCCACAAGCAGGGAGCAGAGAGGGAAGTGGAGCAACAGGGACACGGACCGGTTCCCAAATGGGATGCCAGTGCTTGCATGGTGAGGATTTAGCCAATGAGCTATCACACGAAGCCCTGGGATGTAAGAATAACTCAAAACAAAATGACAGTCTCCTACATGGTGGGGAGGCACTCCAGTGGCAGAATGATGGACTTGGGGAAAATTTGGGAAAGAAACCCATTGTGAGACTGGAGGAGAGAACAGAGGAGAGAGGAGGGAACTTGGGGGAGGGGGAAAGGAGAGTCCAGTGCCAACTAGCCTGTATCAAAAACAATTAAAAGAAAGAAATCATCATAAAATTAGAAATATGTATTTAGATGAGAAAGCTGAAAATTTACAAATAAAGTATTACATATGCACAGTCACTTCAAAATGTCTATAGAAGAGCCTAGTGCAGTAGCCTAGTGGCTAAAGTCCTTGTTTTGCTCGAGCCAGAATCCATATGGGCATCGGTTTGTATCCCAGCTGCTCTACTTCCCTTTCAGATCCCTGCTTAGGGCCTGGAAAAGCAGTTGAGGATGGCCCAAAGCCTTGGGACCTGGCACCCCCATGGGAGACCTGGAAGAGGCTCCTGGCTTCAGATTGGCTCAATTCAGTCCATTGCAGCCACTTAGGGAGTGAAAGATCAGATGGAAGATTTCCCCTCTGTCTCTCCTCCTCTCTGTATATCTGACTTTCCAATAACAAATAAATAAATATTTTTTTTAAAAAAATGCTGTAGAAAATGAAATTAAAAGGCTTTGGCATGAAAACTTTTGAAATTTATGCATTGTCTTTTCATAAAACTTAACACATTTTGCATGAACTTCCTGCAGACATATTACTTATTGGGAAACACAGGAAAGAAAAAAGAAAAGAGAGAAGAAGTAGTACAGAGAGGAGAAATCAATGGAACAGAAAACAATGCTGCAATAAAGAAGAATTCTGAACAAGATGAAAGTGCTTCCTTGAAAACAGCAAAAGAAAGGAAAACCCCGGGTGAGATTAAGAAAGAAAAAAAAAAGAGCACAAATACATTAAAAAGGAAATAAAAACTCAACAGAGACTAAACCCCTTGCCAGCAAGTTTGAAAAGTCAGCAGTTTTAGAAAACAAAACTTACCAACATTGATTGAAGGATGAGAATGCCTTAAGAGTCCTAAAATTAAAAATGATTGAATCAGTATTAAAGATGATCCCCAAAGGAAGCAGGTAACTCAAATGCCTTCATCTTTCAAAGAATAAAAGGAACAGAAATAGTGCCCAAGTCACTCCAGGAGACCCTCACTAAGCACCCAAGCCAGACAAGAAAGGAACAAACAGCACCTTGAATGGCAATCTCATTCAATAACACAGTATTTTTTTAAATCTCAAATAAAATATTACTTAATTATATATGGTCATCTATTTTTTAAAAAAGGATAATAAGACAGGCCTAAATTGATTGGTGCCTGAAAAGCAACCGTAGCTTAACATGACAAAAATCTGTAATTGTTCACATTGAAAACATAGGGTATCTTAGGACTCAATCACAATCATGCAATAAAATTTCACTCAGAGGTGGCTGAGGATCAAATACTTGGGCCATTTTCCTGTGTTGGGATCCGTGCAGTGAATATGGGAGACATGAAGGTGTGAAGAGTGTTGTTCCATTGCAGGCAGGGCCGCAAGGAACTTCCCGCTGCATGGCAGGGCCCGGCGGATGTCTCTACAATCAGGTGGATGCAGCTCCACCTTCCTTTGCATGGACACTGGACCACCCTGTGGAAGAATTCTAATCCATCCAGGCATTGTTTACTACTGTGGAGTTGGCTTTTTTACTCAATGTGAGCTTGGAGGTTAATGTCAATAATAACGTCTTGCAAAAGGGCCTTTTATTATTCCTGCTGTCTTGGCTGTCCCCATTGACCTTATGCTAATAAAAAGTCTGAGCCAGAGTTTGACTGCTTCTGTATAAATAAAGCTTTCTCATATTGTCCATTGTGATCATGAAATCGTAGTGGTCCGTTTCTTTCCTCTTTACGCCTCATCCACATATCCTTCTCAAGTTCCGATTTCATCTGGAGCTGGACTCTGGCATTCCTGTTTTCCCAGACACATTACAATGAAGAGTTGGATCAAACACACAGCACCCACTACTCAAAAAACCAGCACTCCTGTACAGAATGCTGGTGTCACAAGCATAAGCCTAACCCACTGTGCCACAATGCCAGACCCTCACTCCTTTTTTTTTTTTTTTTAACTTTGTTTTTGAGAGGCAGAAATGGAAGAAAGAGAGACACAAAATGAGAGGAACATTTCCCATCTATAGGTTTATATCCTAAACAAACCACTACGGGCAGGACTGAGCTGTGCGGAAGCCAGGTCTTGGAACTCAGTCCAGATTTCTCACATGAGTGGCAAGAACTCAATCCCTGGAGCCACTGTTGCAGCTTCCCCAAGTGTGTCTGAGCAGAAAGCTGGAATCGGGAGACAGAACAGGTAATCACACCTAGGGACTCTCACGTGGAATACAGACATCTCAACACCCACTCCCAAGCCTACCATTCTTTTCTAAAATTTGGTTTATTTTTATTTCTAAGGAGGAATTACAGAAAGACAGAGATCTTTTCTGCTAATTCATTCTCCACCTGACTGCAAGGACCAGAGCTGAGATGGTCTGAAGCCAGAAGCCAGGAACAACTTCTCTGTCTCCCACATGGGTGCAGGGGCCAGGGACTTGAGCCATCCTGCACTGCTTTAAGCAGAAAGCTTGGGTAGGAAGTGGAGCAGCCGGGACTCAGACAGACACCTGCTGGGTTGCTGGAGCCATAGCTTAAAGCTTGGCCTACCCCACCACAGTGCCAGCTCTCACAGGTATCATTCTTAATGAAGACATATTAAAGACATTCCTTTAAAAATTGAGGCAC